ACATCGATAACGAATATCTCCGAAATATAGATCTCGACGATCGACTGAAAACATCGAGGTCCAATCTTCTGTAGTTGATACAGTATTGTTGATATAATGATCCGTTTGAGTGTCATCGGACTTTGCAAAAACCCGGTCGAAATGTGCCGAGCGGCGCGATCGCGCTCCTTTCGTTTCAGTACAGAGACTGAATTACGCTTTTCTATTTTTATATAAAAATATTGTAAATAACGCGATCGTTCCATGTCTAAGCAGGTAACAACAGAAATTAAAGTAAGTAATTAGAAGGAAAACAAATAAATAAATTTAATTTGATTCTACTAACCGATAGGCTGGCACTTTTAGATATAGTTACTGAGAAGCGCGATCGCGGTACTCAAACGGTTAACGCGAGTTCGTTACAGATACACGACGTAAGTACATTCATCTGTTATTGTTACATTGTGTACCATTCAACGGATTCATTCTAATTATTGTAAAATTAATGAAAATTCCATTCGCCTACCGGTGTCACGTATATCGTGCTGACAGAAAATCCCACTAGACACACTGGAAGTACGATCTGCCAGAATTTCAGGTTGGGTAGCTTCTCCTTCAAGGCGCAGACTACGCCGGACACCATTCCCACGATACTGCCGACCCCCAAGACAAACATCATCACGAAAAATAAAACCGCGAACAGCTGTGGAAGTACATAAATACTTTGCAGGCGCGTATTTTGATTTAACGTTCAATGTTCGAAATTTGCGTACGCTACCTGTGGCAGGAAAGAGAATTTCGCGATAGCATCGGGATAGGAGACAAACGCCAAACCAGCGCCAGACTTGACCACTTTGTTAATGTCCGTCGCGTTCATCTCGTGCGCGAGATTCCCAAGAATTCCAAAAATCGTGCAACCCGCTATTAGGCTCGTCACCGTGTCGAGACTAGTCACGATCATCACGTCTCTAAGATAGTACGTAATACTATTGAATTAGTTCTCTCTAGACGCGAACCGCAGCGGTAGCTTGCATTTCACCTGTATATGTTGTGCTTAAAGTCATTGTGCGACGAATAGGTGATGATAGATCCGAAACAAACGGAAAGAGAGAAGAAGCATTGAGTCACGGCGGCGTACCAGACCGACGGGTCCAAAAGTTTCGACCATTTAGGCGTGATGAAGTACAAGATACCGGTTCCAGCGCCCTCGAGGGTCACCGCTCTGATCAGGAGGCAGAGCAAAATGATGTAGGGGAAAATCGCGAGGAAGTAGGAAGCTTTCCCCGAACTTTTCACCCCCTGGGAAGTAACCAGAGTCACCGAGAGCCAACTAACTAGCAGACAGAGAGTCAAACTCCAATCCGGCAACCCTATTCCATCGGCGATACTGTCCTTCTCCTGGAGAACAACCTTTCTGAAATGGATAACAATGTCCCGTAACCCAAACGCGAGTATATACTGCCCGAGTCAAAATGCTGACTTACGTAAAGTAGTATTCGGCCGAGCTTCTGTACTGCTCGTCGCTCAACAGATGAAACGCGCTGGCTGTTCCGGGTCCAGCGTCGAAGGTACTACCGTTATTGTTCACTTTGTGGCCAGAATCCACGCAGTATTTACCCCATTCTTCCCTACATTTCGACCAGGGCAGCTCGGCGGAGAAGGACGCGATTAAAAAATACAGCGTCAAAGACATCAGTGAGCTGTAGTAAGTCATCAAAGCGATGGTCGAATAGAATTGAGCCCAGCCAACGCCTGAGAGGATTAACGTGCACTCGAGTCAACAATTATAGTAGGAAAACCACCGATGATATTCGAGATTCTAGACTTTATCAGCGATAAATACCGACAAATGCAGGGGACACGTTCCACACCCTGATGAACGATGACGAAGAGAACTGTCCTATTATCATTTCCAAATAGTAGAACGGTTTCCCGACGAGAAACAACACGATGATGTAAGGTATGAGGAAAACACCGCCCCCGTTTTCGTACGCCGTGAACGGGAACCTCCAGATATTGCCGAACCCGATGGACATGGCGATACAGGACATCAGGAACTCTATGCTGTTGTTCCATGTGCCCCTCGTTTCGATCTCCTCCACTTCCGATTCCCTGTGCTTCCTGTAGCCAGCCTCGTATTCCGTTTCATCCGCGACGAACGCTGGATTTTGATGTCCACGCTGCATTTCATTGTTCTGCAGAAAAAAAACGCGTGGCATTGATCAGTTTTATCGGACCGGACGTTTATGTCGTAGATTGAGAGATTCTGGGCGTTCGAGATAGCGCGGCAATAAGCTTTAAGCTCTTTACGGAGCTCGCACCGGTTCTTATCGCGTGAGTAAAATCTCTCTATCGCGGGTGTCTCCCTCAAAAATACGATTCAGATCGTTTATCTCTTCCGGTATTGTTCGGGGTTTCATTGGCTACGCGACGAAAAGGTACCCAATCCGAGGCTACGTACTCCAAGCGTTATCCTCCGACGAAAATTTATAAGAAACTCCTAAGGCGACAGAAGTTTATCGAATTCGATAAAGTTGAACGGTAAGTCGGGTCGCGAGTCTTGATTTATGGACGCTCCTGCATAACGGTAAAAATGCAGCTTTACTGATACGAATTGGAAACGCTTTGTAAACATCTCATTAGAAATTCTACAACAGTAATGACACCGATTATCGCGTCCGGCGAAGGAAAGTTCGTTCGAATCGTCGAATATCCGAGCTGACAGTTTTTACGGTGAACTTGTTCGTGAAAAAAAATGAACGTGCACTGTTACTCACCATTTCCATGTAAACTCGACGTTCGACGTGAAGAAACGAAAGGGTTGTTGGAGAGAATGGATCGGTACGGTGAATCGATCGGTTTGCCCGCGTGATTAAGCGATCGACATCACGCGCGGGCTCTTTATATGAGGAAATGTGTGCCGATACTGTGCTCACCCCACGGGCACTCAAAAAACCTTGGCGATAAGGCTACCGAGATTCCAACATTTAGATTATACTGCAATTCTGTACACTCGATCCGATAAGGAACTCATCTAGCTGGTACAATATTATTAATGTTATTCGCCGCACAGGAAAGGAGCATTTGCACCGGGCCACATTCCGATCCGGCACACGGATAACGCGAACCACGCAATCCCGGATGATTGATATTTCCGATCTGTCATCGATCGAGGTTTTTCATTAACATTTCCGTGGCCAATACGGCAATCGCCGCGATCGGAGAATACGAGGATCGTCTTCACACCGAGGAGGATGGGAAGGATGGAAAACGGACTGTCCCAATCGGTGAAAAATTATTCTACCGATCAAGAGGTTTCAAAGTGTAACAATGCGTATCTAATTGTTATCGAGGTCGTCAGTAATATCGCAGAATAATATATTTACGCGTAACGATATACGCGTTTTTAGGAAACATTCGATCGACCGTCCGAAGTGCAGTGAAGTTTGGGTTGCGACGCGAATACGGCAGTTCAAGGCTCTAAATAAATTAGCTGTCGTTATGGAGTTGGAGAAAGCAGAGATTTCTCATGCTGCGTTAGTTCCTCGAGAAGAAATTATAAAGTTTCTGAGAGGTAGATCGGTTAGTGAGAGTCTGATCGCAAGCTTGTTGGAAGTAGGCTTCACAGATGAATTTGTCAGGTGGAGAAACGGAAGAAATGCCTGTGACATAATTGTGTGAACTTTAAATGTCACGTTTTCGTTTAGATTGCTGAAAGCGATGGGTTTCTCGGCGAAGGACATTGATGAGCTTGGAGAATTGTGGGTCCTTGAAGCTAAGAACCGAGAAGAAATCGACTCCTCTGTGTCTCCGCCTTCGTCTTCCGATGAATATTTGTCACCGGATGGAATTTATTTGAAAAACCACTTGAGCGAACCTTTGTCGCGCGCTGTTCGAGAGATCGTTGCTAAGAAACCCTCCGATCCGATTGAGTATCTCGGGCACTGGCTGTTAAATTATAAGGTTCGTTTTTATTCTATCGGTTTTAACGTCTACCGTCTACTCGATGCATGTAAGCTTTGCACTCCAAATTTACCATTTTGCAAATCAAGTTCATCATATATATATTTTATTTAAAAAAACATTAAATATTAGTTAGTTATATGAATGTGTATGTCAAGTTACCAGCTACTGCCTGCAGGATAACCATTATAGACTAGGTTGTGTGTAAAAATGACCTGCACAGGTTTCGTATGTAATTTTCATATTCACACTTTGAATCTACATAATTATATGTAATTATATGAATTATATACGTAATATGTGCCAACTTTAATGAATTGGTAATTACTTATAAATAAATATGTAATACACCTCTTTGTAATGAAATTTTTTGGTTTATTACTAACTAATTAACATTTGATGTTTTCTTTTAAATAAAATGTACATGTAGAAGTACTTTATTTGCAAGAAAATGAATTTGATTTGCAAGAAGGTGAATTTGAAGTGCAACACCTATACATTATGATTTAGGTATGCGAGGAACGAGGAAAAAGGCGGAAGGAACTTGAACTGGAATTAGCGATCGAACGAAGGAGACTCGAATCAAAAGTCTGTATTATTTCGTATTTCTAAATAGAACAATGTTAAATATTGAGATCATTTTAGGAGAAAGAAGTGAAGGAGAAGTTAATCACTAGCGCACACGAAGAAGAAGAAGAAGGAGAAGAAGAAGAAGAAGAAGAAAAAGAATTTGAGAATGATGAGGACTTTATTGATCACCATTGAACTTCCGAATCTATTTAAGATTTGCAGCTGTGCGAAATCGACTGGTAGTACAAAAACGAATAGCAATGTAGATAAATAAATGCGTGAATTTATTTGCTTTATAAATACGTTCTTGCTTCGATAGAAGTCACAGAAACTATGTAGCAACACAGTTCATTGGCTTGCAAATAAATACTGTGATCCGTCGTGCTCGTCGATCGACACATAACGAAGACGATGGACGTCTGGCAACTATTTCCGTCCTTCCAGAGGCTCGTCAGTTTCTTAAGTACTCGGTAAAGTGAACGCTCCGATGCTCAAAGGCGTCCATCTTCTTCGAGAGTGCTTCTTTCAGTCTAAAGGTACAAAACTACTTCGTAAAAAATAGAAAAAATCTTCGTGAAAAAGATACGCCGATGGCTTTTAAGACTGCCATATCACGCGAGTTTATCCTCCATGCAGAGTGCCACGTAAATGAACTGCTTAAATCTCGAGCACTCTCGTTTCTCGCGGATTTTCCGTTTAGTTTCCTTAAATTCGCGCCAGGAGGCCAGCTCCGCGGCGTTCTTGGGTCCCCAATCCGAGGACGGACTGAAAGCCGACCCGATCCTCTGCGCGAGAAAATGAATCTTTAATTTATTTTAGAAACTTATGGACCAATGACCCAGCGAACAATGATTCTTCCTACCTCAACTAGCTTCGATCCTTTATTGGACATTACGGTATAGATGAACCAGAAAGGAACTTGCAGTGCCCCAAACACGCAAAGAGTCCATCCAGCAGCTACAATTTTATTTAACAAAACAACGTGAATCGGAACACTAAAAAGAACTATGCCATCGCGCTGCTTTGAAACTGTACGTACCGTGTGCACTCTTAGGATACGAAATACCGCTGTAAGTAACAGGCGTCAGAGTGACCAACGTGTAAACTAAGATCACAGCCAGCAAAACAGGAGTGATGACGGCCCAACACAGCCTCCAATACATGGACGGTCTTCTTCTCAACATGTACTCCACATCGTCTACGAAATTTTCCAAGCCGTACACCCAGAAGATACCAGTAATCTCGAGAGTGGCTAATATGAAGATGATGAAAGAGCCGCCATAGTAATCGACTAGTTCCAAGATGAATTGTCCGCCCTTTGTAAAGTTCAAAGATACATAATTTCTTATTGTTTCTAATGATACAGTGAATACGATCGTCGACGAGTGATTCTACTTACAGGTGTACAATAAATGGTTCCAGCGAGAAATCCCCCGGAAACGGTACCAGCCACTATGTAAAAGTACTTCCAGTGTGGAAATTGATCGCTTATGATCGTGATAACGGCCCCCGCGATAGCGATGGCGCTTCCAATGCCGAGGACGTAGAGCATCAAGAAGAACAACACGGAAAAGAGCTGCGAACAACCGTAGAAATGTTGCGATAGTTCGTTCGGAGAAGATTGGAATCTGGATCACCTCGAGGTGACGCTCAAACTATAATCTGGTCGATGCGCGATCGATCCTTCAACGTATCTCGATCACCCTGAACGCCTCGTATTAATTTGCATGCGATACAACAATAACATCCGAGTCGTATTCGCTTCTGGTTTGCGTTTACTTATACACGTTTCTATGGACTACGGTCTCTTTTACTTTTCAGCGTATCCTGCAAAGGTTCTTGAACGGTTCGTCCAGTCCAGTGGTCGGCAAACCCATTAGTCAACAGAGCCAAATGTCAACAGTACGATTGAAATTTCTTTTGAGAGCCAAATTTTTTAAACTTAAACTATGCAGGTAGGTACATTATTATTAACTTAATTAGGGTACTCCTGAGCTGGCCTTTGCTAAAAACGTCCTCAATCTGATTGAGAATTGCAATTGAGGGTTTCTGCGCATGGGACACGAAGTTTCAATCGCACTGTACGTGCCGACCACTGGTCTAATTGAGGGGCAAGTGTCTGCGTCTCACCTGAGGTAGAACGTTGAATTTCGCGATAGCGTCGGGGTAAGAGACAAAAGCGAGACCGGTCCCACCGCGAACGACGTTGCCGATGTCTTCCGTGCCCAGTTCGTGGGCCAGGTTACCCAGTATACCGAAAATCGTGAAGCCTGCCATCAGGCTGGTGAACGTGTCCAATGTGGTCACCACTATTACGTCCCTAAAAAATTGGAGTTCTCTCATCCGAGATAAACATAGATCACTCACTAACGCGATTTAACACCTGTATATGTTGTGCCTGAAATTGTTGTAGGAGGAGTACATGACGACACCGCCGAAGCACACCGACAACGAGAAGAAACACTGGGTGACGGCAGCGTACCAAACGTTCGCGTCGAACAGCTTCGACCAATCCGGCTTGATGAAGAAAATGATTCCATTCACGGCTCCCTCGAGGGTTACAGCTCGGACCAGTAAACTGATCATGACCACATACGGAAAAATGGCGAGAAAATACGCCGCTTTTCCCGAAGTCTTCACTCCGCGCGCTAGAACGCCGAATATGCAGAGCCACGAGATTAACAGGCAGACCGTCAGCTTCCAATCCGGTGCGCCGATACCATCGTCGATGCTCTGCTTCTCTTTCAACACTATTCTCCTGAAGGAACAGGTTTAAAGATTTTATATAAGCAGACGTTTTGTTTAGAGAGATCAGGGGGACGGAACAGCTTACCGAAAATAGAGTTCCGCGGAACTAACCATGCTCGTACCGTTCCGTTTAGTGGCATTCTCGGATTTTCCTGAATCAACGCAGTTGTCTCCCCACTGTTCGAGGCACGTGGACCAAGGAAGTATCGATTGGAAGCTTGCGAATAAATAGAAGAGAGTGACAGACATCAGAGAGCAATAGTAAGTACCCACGGCGAGCATTGAGAACATTTGGGCCCAGCCAACGCCACGAAATCCTGGTACTGTGAAACGATCGGGAGAATCTTCGTTTAACGCGTTGACTGCCACGAGAATTTCCAGCGTTTTGAATAGTAATACTTATTCTTTAACAATAGAACTACCGTACCAGTTAAAATGACTGGTTTCGATTCTTTTGTTTCGCAATTATTGATATTTTAAAAGCATTCAATATTTGAAATGATCTTGAAAATAAATAGTTTTATTTGAATACTATAATAAATGTCTGAAGAAACTGGAGATAATCTATTGTTACAATCTTTGTAGGGATTACATATTAATCGTATTAAATTCTTGGTAGTTCAAGTGTTAATAACAAAGGCAAATGATATTGAATATAATTATTAGCGGTTTAGTATCACGGTAGTCATGTTACGCTATGATCAAGCTACTTATGTTACTAAATATTTTTATTTAAAATCAAGTTTCTTATTCTAATTAATAATAACTCCGGTCATCGGTGACCACCGTGGCAGTCAACGTGTTAATCTATTATATTCCATTGATTGATCTGTTGAAATAAATTTTAGGTGATCAGGGGTAAAAGTGAAGTCGCACCTGCCGCCCACATTTTCACCGATGACCTGCTGCAAAACTGTCCCATTATCATCTCCAGATAATAGAAAGGCTTGCCGACGATGAAGAGAACGATGATGTACGGTATCAGGAAAACACCGCCGCCGTTTTCGTAGGCCGTGAACGGGAACCTCCAAACGTTCCCCAGACCGATCGACATAGCGATGCAGGACATTAAAAATTCTACGCCGTTGTTCCACGTTGCTCTCTCCTTGCCGTTCTCCGCGATGGTCTTCGCCGCGCCATTTGCGTATCGTTAATTCGCATTAATTGCGCGAAACAACGCGAGGATTCGATAACGTAAAGGGACGTACCATTTCTTCCGGGACCGACAGAGAGACCGGCGATTTGCGATCGTCCTGGCCGCAATCGTACTCCCCATATTGGAAATTGAAGGTATCTTTGTTCCCGTGCACCTAGAAAATTCTAAAGAATTTCAAACTGCCCGTAGGTAGCTCGCGAAAGAATGAGATGGATGATCAGCGAGAGTTACCTTCCGCGTGACGCCGTTCTCGTCCCGTTTCTGGAAATTGGACGCCGCGAGGCCATCGTCTCCCACGAACGCCGCGTTTTCTCTACCATGCTGGAAGAAAATGAATTCGTTGCGAAGCGATTCCGTGCAGGACGAACCTCGGCGCGGGTGAAGCAACGCATGGCTTTACTCGCGTAACGCAAACTTCGGAAAGCGGCCTTGGACACGACAATAAGAACGGTTATACAGAGAAATGAGTTGTTAAGCGTCACGGTTCGTTCACTTGGGATAATTAAGCGATAGAGAAATAGTTGGCATGAAACAGACATGCAACGGATAGTTTTAACCCTTCGCGCTCAAAAGTTTTTCAATGGGAAGATTCAACGCTTTCTGACGAGATACAGGCTATATCGTTTGAAACGAATTCAATAGTAATCCATAGATAAATGAAGTCAACAAAGGTGTTTTACTTCAATATTTCACGTAGCAATACAGAGTTTGACACGTTAAACGACGCACGATTTCATAGAGCAAAATACACAAAATGGAAATAATATAATAGTAAATCACTTGATTGAATTGCGTTATTATAATTGCACATTTATCTAGGTGAATATCACCACATTAGGTAGCATTATTTATAATATAGAAATATTTCTAAATAATCGTCGTTTAATTGAGTGAATTGCAGCAATTCGATTTGTTTGGGAGTCCACCGGTTACCCCCATGGCATACAACGTGTTGATTTGAAATATTCAACTTCATAGTTTGGTTGCATCGAATCAAATAGTGACCGAAAGTCACCTCCCGAGCGCAAACAGTTAAACGAGTAGTTTCAGTTAGATTATCGGTTGTCCGCGGACTTTCGTCGAACCATTGTATCGCGATTGTTTCGCGTTCCGCTGTTTTTGTACGGCATACTTCGATCGTTTTCGCACGCGAGCGAGGCTGCGTCATCGTGGAAACAACGTGCAACATTCCTAACGACCAGAAACGCGGTCGTTACACGACAATCTAACGTTACAAGGATCACCCGGTGCGATTGCGGCACGCGATCCTCGTTGCATAGGAAGCAGGCTATCGGGTTATGGTAAAAATCGCGAGCCCAATCTGTTCCGAGCTGTACCGATCCGATTTCCAAACGTTGCGACAGAACGCGCCGATGAAAGGCTCGGCCTTCGCGAATCGCGAACCGTGATTAGTCGATGAATTTCGTTGATTGAACGCACTTTTCCTTCGTCGTCATCGTCCTTAAACAACATCGTTTCGTCTTAAAAACACCGATGGAATCTTCGAACGCGCTCAACCGAGATTCTCGCGGATGTATGCGTTTATCCTTGCTCCACAAGGATCTACAAATGACAGTTCCTAACGCGCGACGGCAATTATTAGTTTTTCATTGCGTAAATGAAGCCGGTTCGACCGGCTATACTATTACCGATATCGTATGGCTAATACCGCGAATGGTCCCTGCCTTTGGACGACTGACAAGCCCTTAATGACTTCCGGTTGCTCCTCGCGTCCTTCTCACCACGGCCGTTCCGATCTAATCGTCTAACTCCGAGCCAAAAGAAAACAACGAGAAATTCGTCCGAACGACGGAAGAAAGTGACAAAGGGGGACTTTGTTACTTTCACGACTCATTTATACACCTGGATCTCTTTATTTCCGCGGACGTCGTTACGTCACGACGAAAGCGATTGTTCCGTGCCTTCGCTTTCTCGGTTATCAATGGCAACCACCACCGGCATCAGTTCGTTCAAGAGTCGCGCGCGGACCGAAACCGAATCGCGCGTGCATTGAACGTTCGAATTGAAATTTCGTTCGTTGGAATAGCTGCCGATTAACGGCAGACGCATCGTCCTTGTCGGCCGAGAAGCGGCTCTCGAACACCGTCCCCCGTATTTGCCAATTCTGTCGCGTTCCGAATCTCTGATTCAATATTTCTAGACTTTCACGTGCGAGCGGCTTTATGTAATCGAGCTTAACCCCGCGAGCGACGATTTCGTAAAGGGAGAAACGATGTCATCGCGTTGTCGCCCGAGTACCGGGAATCTGTTGATCAGATGATCAGGGGACGTCTCAACGGTCGACAAATAAAGCTTGTAATTGAGGACTACGCGCAAAAACTCGGGGATCAAGTGGATCAAACTCGATCCACGAAGAAACGGTCTTGGCGTCGAAACCGCGCGTGAAAAAAGTAGTCGGTTCCAAATGCGTTCGGCGCGTACTCGCTTCGAATTATGGATACAGCGTTGTCCACTTTTATTTCTCGGGCCGATGATATTATTTCACCGACAGCCCCTGGCGATATTGAGATCCAAGGAAGTCGACATTGACGGCGCGCATATAATTACCCGATAATTTACCACACGCGAGCTTATAAAAGGCGTTCCCACGAATTTTCTAATCTTATCTCGCCATCGAATGAAGAAATGTACGGTCGTATAGGATTCTCAGACGTGTAAATACACTAAGGGGGCCGAACAAACTGCGTCCATTAAGTTCCCAAATAAAGAACATGGTTTATCAAACTAAAACCGCAGATAAACGCTGCGCTCGAAGGATAGTACAAAGATTGAGTTTAATGTTACGCAAAGTCCGATCGAGATCTGGAGTAGGGACTCGTACCTCGCGCATCTTCGGCGAGCGAACAATGCTTGGAGACGTGAAGACCGGCTGTCCGATCCGGAGGAAGGGTTTCGTCTATGTGGGACGCGCGGAGAGTCTCGATCTTCGAGCTCTGAGACATCTATGGCACCTGTCGCGATAGCCGTGGTACCTTCGCGAGGACCAAACAACCACTGACGTCTCGATCACGAAAGTGATCGCAGGTAGGGACTGTCGGACCTGGTAAACTCGATCGAGAAGGGGGAATCGCGATTTCCCTCCACGTTCCTCTTACTCCAGACTAATTACGACACTCGGCTGCGACCGGCGTCGGTGCTCGATCTCCGGATGATCCATCGGTGTTCCGTGTCAACGCTAAACCACCCGTCATCCCTCTGTTGTTACCGATGAATGGAATACACGAATGTTATCGATAGACTAGATCGGAGGATACGGTGTATAGGGAAACGCGTAATGCCGGTGTTGTTGGACAATATTTAACGGCCGCCCGACGCCGATCTAGTGGACGGATCACCTCTAAATCATTCGAGATAATAGAATAGCGAGCGTCACTTTTATCAGCCGCTTTTCGGATCGGTGCCCTTTTATTTTTCGAGGACATTGTTCCAGATAATCTTCATCTGTACGTTCATATATCTGACTGTATGGCTACCCATTAATCTTCAATGCTATTCAGGATGACGTCGCGAGCAGGATCTATCCCTTCGCGAAAGGGGGAGTACGCGGAATCAGACGCGAGTCATCAATGAACGATCTGGGGAATCCCGCACGCGTCAGAAATGCTGAATGCACTTTAACGCTAGAACCGAGCACTGAAATTGACTTCCTGAAACTTCTGTATAGAAACTTCGAGAGTGCATCTATTGAGACTTTAATCGATTCATTATTCAATTTGCATGTTGCCAAATTAATTTCTTTAACAACTCCCAGAGAAGCATCTGCTTTTTTAACCGTTTGAGTGCTGAGGACTATAGCGCTCTTCTTGTGTTGTGCCAAAATTGCGGAGAGCGCGGAGGCGCTTCTGTTCATCAGTATGAATTATAATTTTCTTACTATGTTCTTCAAGAAATAAATCAAAGTGAATTTATTTGAATAAATGTTACTTTTTGATATTTTTTTGTAATAACACAATATTTCTGATCTCATTAGATAAGTACTCTTATTAATTTTTTTGCATACACACCCAATCACTTCCGCATTTTTGGTAAATATCCACAAAAGTTGTTTAACATCCAAACGGTGAATAATCGCGAGAAGAAATCTGGAATGGGTCATTTTGAAAATGACTGGTTTCGGTTGTTTTGTTTCGAGATTATTGGTATCTTAAAAGGATTGTACGTTCGAAATGATTTTGAAAATACATTGTTCCACTTGAATAGTATAATGAATGTCTGAAGACAACGAGGATAATCTATTATTACAATTTTTATACAGATTACATGTCAATCGTATTAAATGCTCGGTAGTTCTAGTGTTAAAGAATAATCACTGTGACAGAAGTGGTGGTCAAGGATTCTCCTAGACGAACTGGTCGAGTTGGTTCTCATGCTTCCGTTCTTTTTGTCGGCGTATTAGAAATTAGAAAGCACAAGGCACGCGTTGAGCGTATTCTCGAAGCTCCGTTTCAAAGGGTTACGAAATCGTGTTCCTCGTAGCCTTGATAAAAGAATATGTATATATAGTTATAAAATCCTGCTGATTTCTTGATGTTAGGTTTAGGAATGTAGTCTATCTCTTTTCTCTCTATCGTTATCAACGCATTCGAAAACGTTGTGAACTTTACATATTCTCAACACATTGTACACCGGTTCCACGTAATTGCGTGACTTCAGTCTATCGCTTAATTGCTGCATTAACATGACATTTTAGATATGCATAACAGAAAGTGTTAACACGTTGACTGTCACGAGAAGCTTCAACGTTCTATGTGTCATTTTTTCTTTTGCAGCGAAGGTAAAAAGAAATGATTATCAATTATATGATACTGCAATTCTTAAATTACATTGTTATTCAATAATATCTTCGAAATAATAATAATAATAATAATAATGTAATAATATCATTGGTTTAACCCTTTGCGGACGAAGATTCTTTGAAATATACAAAACCTTCAGCAGATGAAGTTAAATGATATACCAATTGTTTAACCCTACTCGTACCACGTGTTTTTATAACGGATCATACCACAATGTGACTCTCGGTCACTTATGAGAACAAAAGGAATGATTAAAATATTATTGTTTTTATTTATAGGGCCCACATTTTAAAAGCCCCAAAAAAATTCTTTTGGAAGTGCAATACGAAATAATCAAAAGGTTTAAATAAAAAGTTCACATGTGACTCAAAGCCACATCGTGGTCCAATTAGGGTTAAGCAATAGGAAAAAAGGAAACTATACGCTGATCTCTAGCTGTTCGAGTAATTAAATCATTTGTTTGCGACTTTTTCTTCCAAATATGAACGCTTCGTCTCGCCGAAACGTCGACATACGTTCGCAAAGAGTTAACAGGATGAATACCGCGGGGGTCACCGGTGACCCCCAGTCAAATCGAATTACTATAGTTCATTCAATTCAACGATGATTATCTAAAAACATTTCTATATTACAAATAATGCTATACAATGCGGTGACATTCAGCTCGATGAATATGCAGTAACAACAATGCAATTCAATCAAATGATTTAATATTAAATTCTCTCCATTTTGTATATTTTGCTTTATGAATCGTGCGGCATTCGACGTGTTAACTCTTTGAACTCTGTAGGCTCCAACATTGCACCAGTTATAATATTAAATATTTTAATGAATCTTAAAGAAACTGCCCTAAATTTATAAGATTTACCACACATCCAAATTTTTTACTGAGAAGGAAAATAAAAGATCGAAGAAATATTATAGCATTTCTCATTTTCGCTAGGAATACTATAAAAATTAGTAGCAGTTGCTGATAGATTACAAAACAACCTGGAGTGCTAAGGGTTAATAAACTAAGTAATCATCACACAGTGTATTTCTGTTCGAGAAAGATCATCCTGGCCCTTCCGAACTTCCGCTTGTAACTTTTACAACGAACTTTGTGGAGCAAAGATACGTTCATGTGGAACCGGTGGCAGGTGGTCTGGAGTAATCACGCAGGCGTGACACCGGCCGTCAACGCCGAAGAGAATTCAAGAGAGCAAAATCGAACGTTCTCCCTTTTTCCCGCAATGAGTAAGACAAGGACGGAACTACTGTGCGACAAGGATAGAGAATTTTGGTGGTACGTTCTGCTTGTAGATGAACTAAATTTCTGTTTGTTATTGGAAATCGTTTATACATTTTAACCCTCTGTAGGCCCATGTAACTTCGAAGTCACATATCAGTATATTGGCATCTTGTTGATGTATTTCATTCTGCACTCAAAGTGGTGAATAAAATTAAGTAATCGGTTAACTTAAACTTTCATACACTCTGCCGTGAAAGTTTAACGTCGTTGTAACTTGAAAATGACAAAATATATTCGTTTGATGAAATTATTGAAAGTATTGAATACATTGTTAATTCGTATTCATATGTGGATATTTACTAATTTTTTACTGCGTAGATTCTGTTATAATCATGAACAAAAATTCAGCCCACAGGGGGTTAAACTCTTTTGTTAATATTCGTGACATTCGTCTTATAAATATTCAGTTAGAAACAAGCCGTCATAGAAGTTGGTCGATAAAATATTTCAACATTATAACTTAGTGAATGTTGCAAATAAATAGTATATTGAATAAAGAAACGTGCCACAACCTTGTAGCCAATGTATCGGTAATGTCGGTTTTTACATGTAGATAAAGTCAATTACTGTTTGTTATTAGAAATCGTTTATGCATTTTAATTTCTTTTATTAATATCCGAGATATTCTTCTTATAAATATTTAGTTAGAAACAAGCTGTCATAGAAGTTGGTCGATAAAATATTGCAACATTATAATTTAGTAAAAATTGTAAATAAATAATGCATATAAAGAAACGGGCCATAACCTAGGAACAGTATCGCCATCTAGCGGCGAACACCATGAATTATTGTTTTCCCTATCCCAGTAATGAGTTAGACAAGGATAGAACTACTGTGCGACAAGGATAGAGAATCTCGGCGGTAAGCGATCAGCTCGTCATCTAGCGGTGAATAGTGTGAACTACTTTTCCCTACCTTTGCAATGAGTAACACTAGCTAGATGGCGATTCTGTCGCGTTCTCCAAAAATTTTCCGTTCTTATCGCACAATGGTTCTGTCCTTGTCTTACTCATTACAGGGATAGGGAAAACATTAGATTCTATTCTTTTTAAATCACTATCTCATTTACTGCCATTGTCACATGACTTTACAAATAAGTTGTTAGTGGCTTTGTGTGTAAAGTTAATTTTATTTTATTCCCGAAATCATTTTCTTTATGATTAAAGAGATTTTTCCATATTTTCATCTTCCATGTGTTACGTATACGCGGGTGGATATATACATGAGTAAATACATGTATGCCTATCGTACACGTGGTTAAAGTCAGCTGACTTATACTAATTACTGTATATATTTTAAGTCAGCGATCGGTGGTTTCTATATAAATTTTAATTTTTTTATTCTTGAGTAATTTGTTTTACATCGCATTGACCTTTTATGTGATTATAAATTTATCTGGAAATGTTATCAATGTGATCAACAACTGTCAAACTTGTAATACAGGTTACAATTTATTTAAAAAATCTCATCTGTTTCTTTCATATTTGCTGTAGTAATAAGGAAAGAGTAAAATATTTAAAATGATGACTGATATAGAAGAAACAGAAGCAAAGAAGGTTCAATCTCAGATTGAAAAACATGATATGTAAGTATGTATTTTATATGCCGTGACATGGTTCATATTGGTTTATTTATTGTTTCATAGTGAGGAAGACCAGCAGGATTTTTCTGAAGCTGCGAAGAAATTAGCTGAAGGACTTTTAAGTATTTATCAGTCACCACTGGAGCAAGTTCATAGAGAACTAAATGAAATAACGTAGGGTATAACAATAAACAAATTATTTAAATTATATTTCTATTCGTCATTGCGTTTTTCTTTTAGGAGCAAACAAGAAACTCTATTCAATCAGATGCAAGCTGAGAATGAAAAACTTCAAGAAATTTTTGATGATGTTGATTTAAATGAAATGGTAAGCTATTATTCAAATATATATTTATTGTTTAATAAAAATATTTCTTATGAATCTTATACATGATTTTATAAAATACTGAATGTAAAATGCATGAGGAAATATGTATTTCAGTTTCAAACGATAAAAGTTTATCAGGGAAAACTGACTTTTATAAAAAAAGAGATGGCTTCCATTCATGAGCGTACATTTAAGTTAAAAGTAAGTGATTGCAATTTACTTATACACGTGTATGTTTGAGATATTGCCTTGTTTATATAGAAACGAGCATTAAGATTACAACAAGTGAAACAAAAAGAGGCCTTGAATAGGGAACAACAGAGAGAGCAGGAAAGTCAACGTGAACAAGATTTAATTGGTAAACCTGTAGTAAGTTAAGAAAAATAGTTTATGCCAAAAAAATAGTTTAGGTATATACAAGAGCAATATATTTATACAGTTATTGTTTACATTAGAAGTTATATTTAATTCATATTTTTATATATTACCAGACAATTTCCCATTGTCCAGTTGAGCTACATTTTCTATTATCTTTACATAAAACATTAAATGTTGTTTCAGTCAGAAAACCAATAATCTCTCTATCTTCTTGTATCCTAAAGGTGAATGTTGATTCATATGTTCCCATGAAGTACCTAGAGAAGGATATATTTATACACTGCTTTTACTTGTAATAAAAAAGTTAAATACTGTTGTTATTAATGCTTACCTAGCATAGGAACAAATGATTTGGTCAATAATGGCTATACCACCATCTTTAAATTTGTTCAATACATAATCCGATGGAATGAACCTTAGTACTGTATATTCAAATAAATATTCTTTAAGTTCATTGAATTCTGCAAAAAATTTATTTAATTGGTAGATTATTCAAATTTTAATCCTATGTAAAACCTTAAGGATGATTTACCTTCTTCTGTAGCATCTGTAGCAACGAACAAAAGTTTCAATCCAAGTTTATCCAATTTTTCCTTCAACTGAAAAGCAGCAGATTTTATTGTTGGTACTGTTGAAGAACGGCCAAAAACGAAATCACGTCGTCTTAAATGAGTAGCTATGTATGGTCCACCAAGCGCGTTTCTTCTACTCTATAGTTAAAAAATTATATTAAATGATATATATCTTTATTTTACTACAATTATAATTAAGTACCTTTTCTTGAGTCCAATCATTTGGCCTTTCTGTGTTATCAGTCTTATCTGTTGAATTGAGAAAACCTTCTCGGAATACATTAGCAATTTTGTATAATTCAGAATTGTATCTCATGCTGCGCCGTGCTGTCCAATATTCTTGCGAGCCATAGAAATCATGTAATGCAATTTCCATATGATCAAACATTACAGACCTATAGGATATAGATTATAAATAGAATAAGAATATAGAATATGTTCATGTAAAGTGTAAATAATGATTAACAGATGCAGTATTTTTTTACCTGTAAATATTAGGCTTAAGATTCTTTTTTAAATCTGATATCATTCCATGAAATTTAATACATTTAACAGTTTCAAAACTAATATTATGATATCCCCAAAAGGATCTGCCATGTCTTACAGATTCCACTTTATTGTATTGTAAAGATTCAGCAGTACATTCTACTATTTCATTTTTGTCTTCAAATTTACCTGTTTTAAACATTTCTTCGTCATTTTCTAGTATATGCATAACATCAAGTTGTGTATGCTTCTCTTTCGAAGGATACTCTGGAAAGAATCACATTTATTGACCTTATAAATTATTATAAAATAGTAATTACTATACCTTGTAAAAACTGATACATTTCAATCACAGGAATATATTTTTGTAAGCTTGTAATATCAAAAAATAAGCCCCAAGGCAACTGTGTTTGAGATCCTATGTTCTTAGTTCGCCAATGATATAAATTACCTAAGAAAAAATTAAAAATATTTAATAAAAGTGTAATGATAAATATTTGATAACAATAAAGAAAATTATAGAACTACCCCATGGTGGTAAAACTAATTTCCACCTAAATTCTTTCTCATGTTTAACTAAATTTTTTATAAAAACTGCTACGCGAATGTAAACATCTCTTCTGAGATTAAATCCCTCCGGTGGATTAATATCGTAAAGAATGTAACTGAAAAAGAGTTTATGTCAAAAAAATGTTTATTTTAATAGATGAATAATAAATTAAATATTAATTTTTCATACCGATTCTTTGAGTAATGTGTTTGAATGTTGCAATTATTATCAGTCTCTCCGTATTCATCTATTTGATTACAAAATGCATTTTCAGTAGTACTGTGTATAAAATTAATATAAAATAATATAAGACATAGTGTTCTGAAGCATAACAAGTTTAACATTTTGAGGTTATAGTGGTTATGAGTACAATAGACACAAGAATTTAAAATAAACAATGTAAAATGATTTAATTCTCTGACATTAATGTATGATTGGTTTATATAAACAATATACTTTCTTGAAGGAAAGAATCCTTCTTTTTGATCGTATTTAGAGTTATTTTGCATGGGATTAAACAATTAAAATAGTTTTTAAATATAATTTTTTCTTAAATAATAAGATAAAGGACAATAAAAAAACAACAGCAATAGCAACAACATTGTACAGGTTGATCTTTGTTACACACGAATTACAGACTCATATCTCCCTTACTTAAAAATGGTTGATGGGTAGATTACAATTTGCTAATCCAATTGATAATAGTTATAATAATGGTAATAATAATTATTATTTATCGTCTTATACAATATTTATAATTCATAGTTCAGTTAACATAGTTTGTGTCCTGCTTATACTAAGCAGGGCTATTATGTTACATTTACTGCGACTCACTCACCATATTTTTCCATTTATCCTATTAAAGTATACACTTGGCATATAAAAATTACAAGGACAATTTATAATGGTAATGGTAGTAGCGGTAGTTGTAGTTATAGTAATGATAGTGGTAGCACTAATGGTATTTGTAGTTATAGTAATAGTCATAGTAGTAGTATTAGCAGCAGTAGTGATAGCGATAATAATATTATCGTTATAATTATTTATCCAATAACTATGTCCTGTTATGATCTTGTCTTTCATGGTTTTACTTTGTCTATACGTATACTTGCATGAAATCTCAGGTCCAATTCTTGGTTGCTTAAGATTCCAGTGTGTTTTGGGAGCAAAATTTAATGCCGTCCCTTTAAAATTTGTGCCTCATTGTGATTTTCAAATGTGTGCTGTTTTATATTTCTTTTTCACATTTTGTTAGCAATGACGTTAACTGGTAGTAGAATTCGTAGTCAGCAAACATTGGTATATACTGTAATACTGAATTGTTGTTATAATAAATATAACATGAAATTCATTCCTATTAGACTAAATTCTCTTTCTTGTTTTGCATTTTATATGAATTCTCTATTGTTAACATCACAGCTAAAAAGGTGCCTTATTTCGACATGAAACATACTATCTTACATTCATTACAAAAACGTGAAGTAGTACAGTAGAAATTAATAAGTTTCAAACAAAATATGTTCTGCACAATCTGCACAGTGCACTCATTTATACCGCTAGTGTTGTACATAATAAAATTTTACATTGCAAAACTATTCTGGTTGCATAATAATAGATAGATATGAAAAATTAATTTATGTAATGTAAATTTAATCGAATATCTCTTTAAGACCTTTTCAATTATTCATAATAAAATAATCGATGAAACTATTAGCTAAGACTTTTAAAAGTTTTTAGTGCACTGTGTATTGCACTATATATTACAAATATAGTTGATACTACTTCACATTTAGAGAAGTACATTTGACAATTACCCGCTTACTAGCACAATCGCAGTTTTATATGCTGGCACAATTACCTGGCACTCCAGGTAAGGTAGTTGGTTACTAATAAAATTATGCATTGCTAATTTAAAACTTTGTTACATGGAATCATTGCGTACAATAAATTAGATATTATGCTTTATTCTGCAGCTAATAAACTTGACAAAAAACCCACTTGAAATAAACGTTGTTCGTTCGTATCTATTTAGACAGATCCAATAACGTTATTTTTAATCTTTATGTATAAGCCCACTTCAATTTAAGTTGTTCTGTTTTTCGTTGGCGAAGTGTCCGTTCTTGTTTCATGATTTTATTGTTTGAATTAATTAGACATTCGACAGCCATGTAATACTTCTTCAAATTATACGAAGTTCGAAGTACATTTAACTGCATTGGGCTTGTAGTTAAACTTTTAAAAATTACAAGATTGTTAATAAATAATTCATATATACACAGAGAAAGATATATACACATACACACTCACACATGCGCGCGCGTAAGCACGCGCGTACTTATTTACAATAACTAGCAGTAACACTCACAAACATATGCCGTACCAAAAATTCAAGATAATGTAAAAATTGATCTTCCGTCATTTCGGTCGAATTGAGCGTAAGAAGGAATATCCAAAGAAAAGAAACATTTTCAAATAAACGCATGCTACAGATTGTTACATCACAATACTATACATTATTATGTGTATGTTTTTACCATATTCAAGCAGGTAGTCTTTCCGAATATAACAAAATAGAATAATGAAAAGAAGCTTGCCTTTAATATAATTTCTCTCCCTAGAAATAGTTTTTACAATCTTATGATATGTGTCAACTAATGATAGGCGAACTCAGATATTATATGTTAATTTCTAAGCACTGTTACATTCTTAGAACCCATAGAAATGTAGCGTTCAACTCAGACAAATCTTTCCAGCATTGCTGAAGACAATAGTTAATGTTTCACCATTAATTTGAACAAAAATTGTAATACGTTTTGTTTGACATAGATGTAAAACTACTGAAAAGAACACTCATGCGAATTGAAGGCAAGACTAAGTTTGTACAATAATTATTCATGTTCTTGGTAAAAACATTACGCATAGAATAGTAAATCGCCAGTAAATATTATTAGTTCTGTTTACTCAAGCTCTATTCGATACCGAGCAGTCGGAGGTTGGACTCAAGCGAAATTCTTTGTATCTATGTATATATTTATACTTAAATACATATAAAGCGGCAAAGCTGCTACATACTGAGTCATGATTTACATATACGTGATTATAAATGTGGCTGCTTTTTTGGAAGGTTTCCTTTCGTTTGCTTTCCTTGGAATGTCCATAGACACTATTAACTAGCGTACATTAAAAATAAGTTCAGTCATTTACACACACTGCAGACACTTCCGAAAGGGAGAGACGGCCATTCTGTTTCACAAAGTGCCTCAGCATTGTATAATCTATTCATTTGTACAAATTAGTTCTGTACAATTGTCTAGCATTATATTAGTTGAAAAGAGCATGTAGTACTATTGTAGAAATGCTCTACATTGAATGTAGTTCTCTACAATATATGCGTATAGAAAACTGTTTGGTACTTGCTAAATAACTAAAAGGTTTCTGCACTTTTTCAAATTTTTCATTTTTTTCTTTCTATCATATCGTTTCATACCATGTTTCTAGTAAAGTCGAAATTTGTGAATCGCGGAAACAATTTCTTTACAACGATCAACAGAAGTATCGGTGCTCAAGAATGAATCGCGTTTCAAAATTACGCGTACACGAGGAAAACAAGTCGTCAAAAGATTTATACAGAGAAAAAAAAAGGGTACCACCGTGTTTCAGTATTGAGGTAGCGTAACGTTGCTTTGGCTTAGCGAGTCTTTCTGATTATCTAGAAATATTTCCACTGATTTGGTGGTACTCGAGAGAAAAGTATTACACGCCGAAGAATGAAACTGTACAGTATGATCTTTACACATAGATATTCTGATTTCTCTCTTTCTCTTTCTTTCTCTCTCTCTTTCTCTCTCTCTTTCTCTCTCTCTTTCTCTCTCTCTCT